TGTCCGTGTCCGTCTAATAAAACAGGATCGTATTAAAGTCTATCCTCCTCCTCCTCCTCGTTATCCTCGTTATTCTCTTCGGACTCCTCTTTGTATCCCGGGTGTTCCGAGATCGCATAATAATTGCCATTATAAATGACCCCCAATTCGCGTAATACGTCACCCCTGATGATGGCTTTGATCGTCCAATTGTAACACTCCTCACTTTCGCTCTCCCGATCCAATCTTTCTACGTCCAATATTTTCGAGCTTAAACGTTCTAATATGATGCCGATGTCCTTTATACTTAAATGATGCTTTTGATCTACGGTTAACTGATCGATGAGCAATAAAAACTTTTCGGAGGTGTGTATCTCGTCCTCCATAATTGTGTTCTCGGTTTCTGATTCGGAGCTGTCGTGCTCCTGATGATGATTGTGATGATGATGATGAAGATGAAAACTCCCGGCTGCGTTCGAATTGCCGGGACCTAAACGTGGACTCGATTCCTCGTCAGTTGTGTCGCGAAATCTGACGTGGCCCTTGCCCAATCCCGACCGCCTCGTCCCATCGGACAAGGACGAGGGCGGCTGGGGCGACGGGGTTTGGGTCTGGGTCTGTTGCTGTTGTTGCTGATGCGGATGATGGTGCTGCTGCTGTTGCTGCTGCTGTTGATACTGCTGATGTTGACTGTCCTGAATCGGCGAGGTTGCAACCGATTTGTGCACCGCGATCCTACGGCCCTCCTCGTGCAATGCACAACAATGAAAATCGCATTCCCCTGTGGTACCGTTGTCCGCCCCGTTAACAGGACTACCGTTCCTCGCTACCGGCTGATGTATGTGATTTGAACACTCTGGCGTGTGGATATGGATGGTCGTGCTTTCGAAAGAATTAGTTCCTTGCTTCACCAAACGACCTGGCATACTGTGCACTTGCTGCGCCTGTTGCTGCGCCTGTTGTTGCTGTTGCTGCGCTTGCTGCGAGATCAAAAAGAACGTTTTAGTTGATCGTCGCTTAACATTATTAACACATTTCTTCATTTATCTATTTTATATATATATATATTGTTCTTATTTATTTTATTTGTTTTTTGTTTTTTTTTTGTCTAATACTCTCAACATTTCTCTCTACCATATCATCATGATTTATCACAGTGATTTGGGGACCCGCGTATCTGCTTGGACCTAGCTCGCCGCCCGGCAAATGCGTTGGCTTTCCCCCATAATTCAACTTGTCAATGCTAGTTTCAATCACCAACGAGGGCCGCTGACTCCCGCTCAGATCGGCTTTCTTAGTTGGCGAATATTTAGAGGACTGGGCATCCGCGCCCTTCGACTGCGATTGAACCTGCGACGACGACGACGAACGTTGGTCCCAGTGTAGGACCACTGTGACTCGTCCCTTATTGTCCATAATTTTCCACGATGGCGTCTCATCGTGCAGCTCCAGGGCGTGGATTGTTTCGCAAACTATTTTCGGTATCGCTGATATCGCTGAAAATTATTATGACAATATATATATATATATATGTATATGTATTTATCTCTGTCTTTTATATTAAATATTAATATATTAATTATACGAACACAATGTGTGTATGTGTGTGTGTGTGTGTGTTTGTGTTTAATATGAACATATAACAGAGAGATGAACAAATAAATCTAACAGTATAATTGTATCGACATTACTTTTCTCATATACATTTTCGATCATACTTATTACAAAACTATTGCGAGTCAAATATTGTAAAATGTCGACAATCGTGCATAGACAAACGAATCAAATATTGCATCGGGGAAAGAATTTAAACTGATTGCACTTTTAATGACCCCTATTATCTATTATATTCTCAACCTTTTAACAACGACACGCTTATTCCTCGTGATTCTCTCTCTCTCTCTCTCTCATCTATATAATAATAATAATTATTTGCAAGATTTAATTAGACGTTGCTGTTCTCTTCTATAAGGGTGACAACGCCTTTTAACTCGAGAAATTATTTTAACGTTACGTTATAACGATTCGATACCGATGAGAAATGTCAAACGTTATATATTTTATTATATTATATTATATATTATATAAGCAAAAAATAGATGTCAAGCTTAATTAATGTTAATAATCTTTTGCATCGTCGAAGTAACATAGTTTGTCGGCATTCTTCAAAGTCCTGTATACACCACCCTAGGATTAGGTCACATCCATACTTTTAATATTACTTTTTAACATTTAACGTTGCTTTGCGTTGCGTTGCATTTCATTGCATTTCATTGCATTGCATTGCATTTAAAAACTCTTGCCAGACTTACTTAAGAGATAAAACGTGATTATACCTTTAAAGGGTTTTACTACTTCCAGATAAAGAATCAACCACGGTCAGAATACAAAGAAGACAAATAATGTTTTATTATAAGAGAAACGCCCACACGGTTAGTCCTTTCCCTTTATTTTCCACTAGATTTCTATATATATATATATCACTATCTCTCTCCCTCTCTCTGTCTCTCTCTCGTTCTCTCCGTTAAAAGACAAAGCTAACGAGCTTGTCCGTGTACATTTTTTTTCCTTGCACTTTTTTTATTTTTCTTTTTTTCTTTTTTTTGTTATTTTTATTAAGCTTCGTTAATGTACCTTCATCAAGAAGAAGAAGAAGAAGAAGAATAGAGGGTGTACAGAAAAACGTTGTCTATATCGTTAACTAACCACCCCCCAACCCCCGGTTACGTTTTATCTCTTTTCATTTTTCTTTCTTTCTATACACAGTCTGATAGTAAATATGAACAACAAGAAGAAAAAAGACTTAGAAACATGAAAGGAATCCATGGGATTTTGTTCGATTGGCTTTTAACGATTCAATTATTTACAATTTAATATTAAAAAATTAATATTAACAAAAATTCCTAAGATTTTTCTCTAACGAGAGGATCTCTTATTTATTATCCTGTTGTTCCTGTGCATATTATATACGTGTGTGTGTGTGTGTGTGTGTGTGTGTGTGTGCGCGTTTGTATCTTTATATGTCATTTTAAATATGAGAGTGTTATTATAGGAAGGGTTGAAAATAAATAATATGTACCGGCTCGTATGATGTCAACCCCAGTTGGACACCACCGTTCACCATGCCGCAATAAAAGTAAAATCGTATTATTGGCTAGTGTCTTGAAGTATTCACCGTCTTCAACTTGGGTCCCGTCAGATTCCAATACTAAAGAAACATTCTCGTTCTGCGGTACGCCTAATTTTTCTTTACCTATTGAAATAAAACAAACAAACAAAAAAAAAAACAAACATGAAAAAAAATATTATCATTAATACGTATGTGAGATTAATTCGTATCATCGATACGCGAGATATTTTGAAATGGGACAATTATGTTCGGGGGTGTGGGTGGGTGTAGTATGGGGTTGGAGGGGTTGGGAATATCGAGACGACGTTTACGATCGATATTATATATATATATATATATATATCATATATTATATTTTATTTAATTTCGTATTATTTTTTCAAGAGAAAAATTTTAGATTGCTCGTCTAATGATTATTTTATACGTGGATTGATATGTTTTTTCTTTTTTTTTTTTTTACTTTATTTCTTTTTCGATCATCCCACAAACCACGACACGCGTTTAATTTATTTGTAAATATAATTTTATTGATTCTTTCACTTCACTTATTTACACAGCTGTTGTGTTTATCTCTCTCTCTCTCTCTCTCTCTCTCTCTCTCTCTCTCTCTCTCTCTCTCTCTCTCTCACTTTCTCTCTTTCTCTTTGTCTCTCTCTTTTTTTATCGAATTTTAATTGATTTGAGAACGAAACGTTCATAAATGATACAACCGATATATCAAACGGTCAATTTTTGAAAAAGTTCTGGCAATTTAAAAATAAAAGAGCGGTTTTTTTCAAAAATTCATAACTTTTTTTTAGTCGGGAAAAAAAATTTGAAAAAATTCTGAAAAATAACTTTCGGGGGGTAGAAAAAGATAGAAAATTTTCAGCGAATTCAAAGAGGGTCAGGTAAAAAATTTGTCGATTTGACATGGAATGACCCATATATATATATATA